GGACATGCAAAGGGCACAGTGAGCCACAGCCCCTGCTGCCCGCCCGCCCTCCGGGGCACCAGGAGGCCCACCGTGGGGGCCCCGTCGATCTCGTCGATGACCAGACAGTTGGGCTTCCCGCCGGTGCCCAGCACTGACTCCATCTGCGTGGCTGCCTCGATGCGCGTGCGGAAGGCCTCAGGACTGCGGTCGTCGCTGGAACCGTGAGGCCGGGGGAGGGGTCGTCAGGGCAGCCATGGCCTCGGCCAGGGCAGCAGCCAGTGTCCCTGACAAGACGTCTCCTAGGGCTGAGCCGCCATGCCCACGCCTCAAGGCTACCCTGCGACGTGGCTGCCCTACATCCCAGGGAGCCCGAGAAAGGATGAGTCCCACCCCCCCGCAAGCCTGGGATCCCAGCCCTGCCTCCAACCCACTGGGGTCTCAGGGCCGTGACCCAGACTCAAGCAGACATGTCAGAATGGGTGAGGCCCACTCACCTCGCGTTCATCTCCACCACACAGTACCCTGCATGCTGCGCGATCACGTGGGCCAGGGTGGTCTTGCCCAGCCCAGGGGGCCCACACAGCAGCGCCACCTGCAGCGAGGCAGAGGAAGATGTGCTGCAGCCCGCACCACCACAGGGAGCCCCCCGCCCAACCACCAGAGGCTGAAAATCCCGCCCCGTGAGGCTTGGTGCTGGGGTATGTTCCCCCACCCTGCCCCGTCACCAAACGAGAACAAACCCCAGCGTGCTCCTGGCTCAGAGCAAGAAAACCTTGCAAAAAGAGAGTGATGTGAGACCTGATGGGGTCTCAACAGTACTGATGTGACTGACGCCCAGAAACCAAACTGCCCACTATGATCATCGTAGGGAGGTGCAGGGCCCATCAAGGGACACTGACTTTACCTGAGCCATTACGAGAACGGGCTCACGTCCTAACTCACGTCACCAATGCTCCACACCGAGACTCTGCCGTCGTCATGTTCACGACCACACGGACAGTGAACATGCTCCATGGCCCCCAGAGGCTGCGAAGGTGCCGACCACCCAGAGTGCAGCCCCTGGGCTCAGAGGGGTGTGCAGTGCAGCTGGGTGGGGCTCACCTTCTGCCGAGGCCGCTGGCTTGGGTCCAGCTCGGCCTCCAGCATCTCCTCCAGCACCTGCTCGTGGCTTTTCCACTTGCTGGACGCTGTGGCCTCCTTGCCAACCCGAGCCGGCTCCACACTAGGCCTGGGCTTCCGGGTGGGCCTCTCTCGGCCAAACACCACCAGGTCCCACAGTTTCAGCCACTTGAGCAGGCAGCGGTTGGTGAACTGCAGGAAGGGAGGCATAGCCTGGGGCGACCACCAGCACCAATGACTCCCCAGACCTGCCCCTTGTATCACCCTGACGCCACAAGGCCAGGGACACCCACAGGGATGCTGACGCTGAATGACGAGTGACTGTTACTGGGTCACCTGGCACCGGGTCACCCTGCTGGTAAGTGGCAGCATGAGGTTCACCCCAAGTCCTCCGTCCCCACAGCCCTCGGGGAGTCCCCGCCATCCCCAGGGGCATCCCGGCATCAGCTGCTACAAAAGCAGGAAAGAAAACAGAGGCTCCAGGCACAAGGTGCCCTGCCCAGATATCAGTGACCAGCAACATGTTAACCACGTACAGCTCTCAGTTTCCCCACCTACAAGTCAGTGAGGTAGACCACAGCCCTCTCCTCCATCCCAACAGCCCTGTGAGCTGGCAGCAGAAAAATCAGTTGGCTCCTGAGTTCTTCCCTCTTGACAAGTAAGACACTAATCACACTTGAGCGAGAACAAGACCTCACATCGTCACTGAGCAGCTCCGTGTAGCGCTGGGGCGCGAACTCATCCACCCAGAGGCAGTGCTGGGAGGCGTCTTGGCTGCTGGCCGGCTCCTCCTCAGGGGCCCCCGAGGGCTGGGCCTCTTCCTCCGCCTCCTCCGGCTTGAGGCTGGAGAGCATTGTGCCCTGAGCCTCCAGGCCTTAACCCCATACAAGCGCCACCCCCCAATACAGGCTGGGGGGTTAGCAGTCCAAGACCAGCTGAGGATCGCAGGGATGGAGGGGCCCACCGCGTCACCTGCGCAGCGTGTCTGAGAGCCGCTGGGCCTCCTCGAGCAGCTGCTGCCGCCGCTGTGCACAACAAGGGTTGGGATCAGGATGGTTTAGCCAGTCACCCCCAAGCTACCCCTCCTCTCCCAGCAAACCCCAGCAGACCCCACCTCACTATCCACCTGCTCCTTCAGGGAGGAGAAGGACACACCCAGCAGGTCCAGCTGGCCACGGCTGCGCCACCGGATGTCAAGGAAAGGGCTCTGCAGGGAAGGGAGGACAGCGGTCACCCCCTCTTAGGTCATGGGGTTCCCCACAGCCCTCCTCCCAGCAGCACTGGGGGACCCAGGGGCATTTCCCAGCATCAGCAAACCTAGAGATGAAAGAGCCCCTTCTCTAACCAGGTACCTCAAGAGGAGAAGCCACTGGGATCGGAGGCATCTCTAGCAAGGAAAAGGAGGAGGAAGGAGGAGGAGGAAAGAGAAGAAAGGAAGAAGAGGAGAGAGAAGAGGAGGGGAGGGAGGCCCTCCAGAATGAATGTCTGGTGGCCAAGTGGATTTCCTGAGGGGTCCCCAGGTTCCCAGTGGGGATACGACATCCAAAACCTTTTCCTGGGCAGCATCCAGCCCACCAACCCCACAGAAGGGTGGTGACCAGCCCCCTACTTGTGGCTGCACAGACCCACCTGCACCCCCGTGCCCACTGGGTCAGCCCGCAGCACCAGAAAGGCCCGGTCGCCGCCTGTAGACGTGACGTTGATGTAGTCCTCCAGGACAGGGGGCCGCCTCAGGACAGGATTGCGGGCAGCAGGCGAGACTTGTGTGAGACGCGCACCGCCACCAGCATCCAAAGGCCTGGAGAAGAACGGGGGCTGTTTTGGGGTCTCTGCTCCTGTTACTCCAGGAAGAGGGGCACGCATCCACCCTGGGCTACAGAGCCCTCCCACAGGCCCCCAGCCCTCAGGACCTCGTCCGAGGAACGGGATCCTTCCAGGGCCCCCTGGGACACCTGTGCCCCAAGCCACACACCCTTCACCCCACAGCTCAGCGGGGACCTCGGGACTCGGTGGGGGGGTGATGTCCCGACACGGGGAGTCAGGAACCAGGGGCTCTTGCATGTCGTCGGGCGCGAAGTTCAGCCTCTTCACGGCCTCCAGCCTGGGCCGCTTGACCTTGGGGGCTGGGGAGACACACGGAAGGAACAGAAGCGCTTCCCCGGCCTCGCATCCCACCCCCACGCCCGAGGTCCCTGCGGACGTACTGGGGGGCAAGGACCTGTCCCTCCGGACGTCCGCGGCCAGCTGCCTCTTCCTGGCACCGCCCGTGCGGTTCTCTGGAGGTCCACCGGGAGAACAGTGAGTGGCAGCGCCCCCTCCAGCCACGGCCTCCTCGAACGTGGGCCGGGGGCCCCCGCAGGGTGACAGGCCCGCGCTCCCTGCGGGACAGAAGACTCACAGCGGCCGGCCCAGGGCAGCCGTCTCCGCACACAGGCTCGCGCAGCCAGCGGCGCGGGAGGGCCCTCCTCCCTCCGCTCGCCTCCCCTCCTCCGAGCAGCCCTCCCGGACTCCCGGGGCGGGCCATGGGCTACAGGGGACAGGCCGCGGCGGGGCCGGCGCCCACCTTCCAGCTCGGCCAGCACCTCGAGCTCGGCCGCGAACTGGCTGTGGAAATCATCCTCGACACCATACAGCTCCGGTTCATAGTCTTCCATGGCCGAAAGACCCTACCGGCCCAACGCCCGCCGCGCACAGCGCGCCGAACCTCCCGCGCCGCCGCGCGCAGCCCCGCCCCGAGCTTCCCGGCAACGCCAATCAACAGCCGGCGTGCCCGACGGCCCTCTCCATTGGTCAGCGGGCGGGGGCGGGGCTGCGCGCGCAGGCTGGGCGGGGCCGAATCAGTGCACTAGAAGCGAAGCGGCGGGTTCAGGGGCTCTCGCCAGTGGCCTGCACGGCCGCCCGTCCACGGTGTGGGCGGGGAGTGGGCGGGGCAGAGCCCTCGCTCCGGCGTCGGAGCGGCCGATCCCGGGCGCTCGCCATTGGCCGGCACGGTCGCCCGTCCGCGGCGTGGGCGGGGCGTGAGCACAGGCGGGGCCCGG